TGAAGAGTCCCTGTATGAGGGCTACACAGAAGTAGGTGATGAGCGTGCATGTGTGAGTAACTTATAGTGTGACATATAGTGCGGAATATACATAGAGTGGGTTCTGACTCCTGGTGTTCACAAGTCCTTTCTGGTGCGTGTTCGGCGACGTCGTCGAAACAGCACGCGTAGGACTCCTTGGACGCAGTACCGTATACTACGGTATATCGTCTTCCACAACAGTACTATTATGTGGAGCACAATTCGTAGTCCGAAGCTCCAGAGAAAAACGTAGCCAATAGCTATGCTGAGAAGAGCAATGACCACGACCGTGATTCCAAACTTGTACCAGGATATGAACACGTCCAGAATATGTCCTAAATCTGGCAGTACGAATTCGTCGTAGACCGTGCTCTGTCCAGCGATCACTCTTTCTGCTGTCGTACGTAGCGTTCGGGTCCAATAAAGAATCCCAGTGAGCTCGAACGTCGTTTTGGTGGTTCCACACGTAGTCACACATTGTTGACGTATCTGTGCTCGTGTAAAGCTGAATCGGAGTGTCGAGATTGCTCCTGTTGGATGACACGGCACTGTGAAGGTGGCGTCGTCGCAGGTTATCGATGCCATCGTGTACTCTTTTTCGCTGTAACACAGTATGGTGGCCACTGCGCCCTGTGTACAGTGATAACAGCCATGAATAGTGGAGTCCTTGATCGTGCATATCGTGTCTGTGACTTCCTTCTCGGTGGTATCGAAATCTTCCTTGATGGTCAGAAGAAGTTCTGCCGTGGACAGACTGGACACGATTGCGCGGACTGTAGCATCTTGTGGCCCGTTGGCCATACTCTCGAAAGCGAATCCATGATCTTCGTATGGGGAGTCTTCGCCGTACATCAGTGAAGATTTCAGTGACGTTATGGTCGACACAGACGCAATTGACGGTGTCTTCTGCTGGTTGGCAGTTGCAGATGGGGTGAACGTCACATGCCAGAGCTTCCGCCTCCCTGTTCGAAGTGCACTGTAGTGGCGGCAGCTGACTTTCATCCCACAGAGCTACCTCCTGTCCTGGCGGCTATGAAAGTCGTGTGCAACACTGGTGAGGGTGGTACCGTAAGCGAACTGAGTGTGAGCTTCATGGTTGGTGTTGTACTGATATAGTCGGTCGGAGATGCCTGGCTTCGTTCACGGTGGTCTTCTTATCCGTTGTCACTGTTATGTGGAGAACGACTTCCTCTCTCCAGCGTGAGCAGCTGAATATCTCGAAGATTTCGGTGCTCTCAGGTTTCATGAAGACGCGGTAGAATAGGCATCCGCTGCTGAGGTAGAAGCATCCGCAGCCTGGTCCTCCGCAACTCTCAACGCAGTATGTCACCCCGGGGAAGAGGTTGGCTTCCATCAGTTCCGGAAGAAGGGTGGTCGTGTTGACCCCTGCGCATTTAGTGTCCACGCAGCTGCCGATATGGGAGCATCGTTTGGAACTTAGCACGTGTTGCTTTGCCGCTCGTGTATACGTGATAGTTTGCTTGTCGCAAATGAGTTGAAGTGTCTTCCATTCCAAGCGGATCTCCTTCAGCATTCGACTTTGTTGGTAATGCGGAAGCACGCTTCCTTGTTGAACGTGTTGAGCTTCACGATCTCTGTGACGTCGACCGTGCAGTTTTGCCGGTGTGATGCAGACTTCGTGCAGGTGGTCATTCTGTGCTCGAATATGTCGACATCTTGGCATGCTCTCGTACCCTGGAGTGCACAAGTGACAATGAGGAGGTAATCGGTTAGGCAATTGAAGGATTGAAGACATTTGCCGTGCACAACCAGCAGTCTACGTTGCGGACAGAACGGCATAGCTGGACAGGTCGTTTCGACAGTCTTCATTTTTGTTCCGTTGGTCACTTTCCAGTGGACTTTATGTTCATGGAGGGTGATCTCTGGAGGAAGCCTTATTAGTTCTGACTCCGGTGGGTTGTCACGGGTGATGCAGGATCCTTCAGAACATAGTTCGTACGACTTCATCCCTGAGGTCTTGATAAGCATTCCCTCCGGTGTGCATTGCATCGACGCGGTGGATGTACCGAGGCCGACCCTAATGCGAGGACGGATTGTGTGTGTATGTACCGATCCGAGCAATCCGAGGTACAGAGTATCGTGATGAGTGTTCCATGGTGGAGTAAGTCATAGCGAAGCCGCGGTCGACTCCTGAGGTTGTAGCGGTCGCATGACGTACGGGGCGTCAACTCTGTTTCTCGAATCTCTTGCGGCTCAGCGCTTGTCTGAGCTGCTAGTTCCTTAGGTGTCTTCCACTTCTGGTCCAACGTCATTCGCCGACGTGGAGCTGGGTGGTACTATTCCGGTTCCATTGTCGAGTTCTCTTTGCTGATCGTCTAACTCTAGCGGAACGAGCAGGTTGATCGGGCGCCGTGTGAGTCGTTTGTTCGGTAAGATAAGCTCGACCTCACGTACGACACCTTCCTTGTTGGGGTGGACCTCTGTGATGCGGCCCATTTTCCAAGTGTTCCTGGGTAGGTTGTGGTCCATGAGTAGCACCACTGTTCCTGGAGTGGGAGTTTTCGGTGTGCCATGGTTGCCGGCTAGGTAGCGAGTATGCTGTTCCCTGAGCGCGGTGAGGTATTCTTCTCTCCAAATTTCCCAGAATTTCTCCGTGAAATGGTACGAGCTACGTAGGGCTTCCTCTGCTTGACGCCGGGTACGTAGCTGAAGAGTTTCTTCGGCCGGATAATAGTCTGGATCTTCATTCACGTCTGTAATTCCATCCATCGGATATGTGATGATCATATCTCGTTGAATGAAGTCAATCGGACGAAGAGTAGGTCTATCGTTCCAGTGTTCTTCTTGGTACGTTAGCGGACGTGTGTTCAATGTCCCTTCGATCTCCGTGAGCAGCGTGGTAAGTCCTTCGAATGTCAAGACGGCTTTTCCTATGGTTTTGTACAAGGAATGTTTAATGGTCTTGATGAGCCTCTCGTAGAACGCTCCCTGCCACGGAGCGTAAGGGGTAATCATCTGCCATGCAATTCCTTTCGTTGCCATCGTCGCAGCCATCGTTGAGTTCTGTGCTATAGGAGTTGCTGCGTCGCGAAGAATCTGGTCTCCTAACAGGAAGTAAGGTGCGTTGTCTGACGTTATAGTCTCCGGTACCCCTCGACGGGCGAAGAATCTGCGGAGCGCATTCATTAATTGTACCGTTGACATGTCCTCCACGCATTCCAAGTGAATGAGACGAGTTGTTGTGCACGTGATGATGATACCGTAGGCTTTGCCTTTCCTTCTCCTTCCCTGGATTTTACCACTATTGGCCGAAGTAGTCGATGCCGACGTGTTGGAACGGTCGACTTCGTTGTGACTCTTCGTGGCGGCAGGTCTGACAATGCCGGATATCGATACGGCAGGTTATTCATCCGTTGACATGGGACGCATCGCCGTATGACTTTCTGGACTTGCCGTCGAAGCTGTGGAATCCAATAACGGGTCCGCACTTCGGCCATGGTATGAGCCGTTCCGAGGTGGAGATGGTTGTGGGCGTCTTGAATGACTAACGTGGCTAGTGATGTCTGCGGCCCTAATAGGATGGGCTGTTTGCTCTCCTCGGGTAGGTCGGAATTCAGCAAACGACCTCTGCACCGTATGATACCTTCGTGATCTAGGTACCGGTATCAAGCGATCTTTCACTGGTGGAATCTTGCCTTCTACGTATACGCGTTGATGGTTGCGTATGAGAAGGGAAAGAGCCTGTTGACGTTCCGAAATGGTGATGAACTCGTCCTCGAAACGATTTCGCAGATGTGGAATGTGTTCCCATATGGAGGCTCGTAGATCGGGGTTAACTCTAGAAACGACATGCCTGAGCCATCTCAAGGCATACGAGAAGACGGATGTGGCTTGAGCAACGGAAGAATAACGTTTCCAGTCCACGACCTCTGTCACTGGAGTGTGTGTCGCAGTTGCCATGAGGTTTGTGGTGCTCTGTTGAAGCTCTGCCGTTGATTCTTTACCGTCGTCTCGGCACTGTAATTCGGAAGTGGGAGGCCAGTGCTCTCGATCCTGACCATTTGTAAGGAATTCCGGTCCCTTCCACCAGAAGTGTCTTCCGAATTCGTCGGTGGTGAGTCCCCGCGTCGCACAGTCCGCAGGGTTCACCTCTGTGCCGACATGCCCGAATTTCACTTCAACTCCTTCGTGCTTGATATCGTTATATATGGCACGTATCTCTTTGCAGCGGTTTCGGACCAGTGTGCCGGCATTCCGGTCCATGTCCGATGACGCTAACCAAGCGAGCGCTATCTCGGAGTCTGAATATACCGTAACGGACTGAATGTGAAGTCGACATTGTAACGCACGCAGCGTGGTGTTCACGAGCCGAGCTGCCATTGTCAGTGCGTTCATCTCGAGTTTTGGGATGGTAGGATTTTCCTTGATTGATGGAAGTTTCGACTTGGCAACGAGCAGTACCGAGCTTCCCTTGTGGACGAGGTAGACGCAAGCTGCCATGGCGACCTTACTGGCATCAGCAAATGCGACGAGATGGGCTGGTGATGCTGTCGATCCATCGCTTGCTTGTCTCGGTATACTTCTGGAAAATCCTTGGGTGTGTGGGAGAATTCGCTTCCATTCAGCTTGATGCTGGACAGACAGGTGTTGATCCCATTTATAATCGTGTTTCCAAAGACTCTGTAGAAAGAGTTTCGCATGTAACGTCAATGGAGTCATCCATCCGAGCGGGTCGTACAACGACGCCACTTGTTCTGAGACAGTACGTTTCGTGACAATCGACTTCTCTGGATAACAGCATTCGAGATCGATCGTATCCTTCTCCGAGTTCCACTTCAAGCCTAGTACTTTCGGCTTTGTCGATGTGCTCAGCTTGTCTTGTGGGAGACGTTCATTGACTTCAGCAGAGTTGGTACGGAATTCACGCAGGTTCATGTTGAGTTCCGCAAAGATCTGTCGAGCTTTATGACAGCGTTGTAGAGCTTCCTCTGTTGTGGCCGCCGTCATTAACAGGTTGTCCACGTACACGTTATCCTTGATCAGAGCTGCCATTTCTTGATCCTCTGTACGGTCCAAGTGTTCCGCTATGGTGGCTCCTAGCAAAAACGGCGAACAGTTCAACCCGAATGTGACGCGTGTGAAGCGAAAGGTGATGATGTTTCTGGAGTCCAACGGTTTGGACACATCACGTAGCCATAGGCACCGTGTCGCATCTCGGTCACGAAGCTGTAGGTGAACCTGTAGAAAGGCCTTTTCTACATCACTGATAATGGCTATATTTCCTAACTTCGCTGGTTTCGATCGGCTGTGTTCGGTCGAAGACGGTTGTGCTCGAGGAGTGTTCCGACAAATCGAGGTATGATGGCCCTTCTCATTGCACTGGCGACACGCTCCTCGAGTGCAATCCTTGACGCGGTGATCTGGTGACCCGCAGTTACGACAAAGATTACGCTGTCGTATTATGTCCATCCGTTGATCCACTGTAGTGTATCTTGGACAGGATTTCGGTGTATGATCGCTCGTATTGCAGTAGAAGCATGGGTACATCTTGACGCTCTTACTGCTCGTGAGCTTGGCTTTTCTCGCGATGAATGTATCGCTGGAAAACGATTCCTTCTTCTGTTCCTCCATGGTTCCTCGCACGTTCTGGATTTGAGTTTCCATGTCGAAGAAGTCTTGAAGATCGTTGAGCAATTGCTTCGTAGACCAGCCCTCGTTCGACGAGGCTGCTTTCCTTTTCAACATAGACCGTTGAATCTTGTCGTTGAATTTGCTCAAGATCGTACGACGCATGTGCTGTGTGTTGGTGTCTTCTCCTTTCCTTTCCAGTTGAGCTACGATGGGAAGGATCTGATCGAAGACGAGCATTTGGTCTGCCATTCTGGAGCTTTTCGGCTGCATGGTCTGAAGGTGCTGAAGCAGTTGACCGATCACGGCCTCTTGATTGTCGTATTTTTTCCTGAGGAGCTGGATCGCAACTTCATAGTTGTCGGCTGTGATTTGCAGCTCTTTAACAGTCTCCTTTGCTGGACCTTGTAGTGCTTCTAACAGATAATTCAGCTTTTCGATGTTGCTGATGTTCCTGTTGTGAATAACTGCTTCGAAGATTCCCCAAAACTGGTCCCATTCCCACAGCTGTCCTCGAAACTTGGGAATTGGTAATGGGGCGAGACGTGGCATGAGTGCCTCGTTTTGGTCCGTTGGTACCGTCTCCTGGTTTAGGACTAACGAAAGTTCGTTGAGACGCTTCTGTCCTCTGAGGTGTATGTCTTGAGCAGTGAAAATGTTCTGTTCGATTCTGCTCTTCTGCGCTTCGTCAATAGGTTGCGGGAGCTCGTCTGCTGCCTCCATGAAGCGGTCGAGGGCTTTCTCCAGCTGTGATGCTTTTATTTCGAGTTCCTGGTGTTCTCGACGAAGTAGTTGCAATCGATTTCGGTCCGTTCCGAGATCTGAAGCTCTTCCGGAGTCTGTAGAAATCGATTCGTATTTGTCGAGTGCCTCTGCAAGCTCGGAAGCCATCCGAGTGAGCCATGACTGTTTTCCGCTGAGGGTTGCAGTCATCTCGAAGTGATGTCGATCCTGACGTCGACTTGAGGTACTGGTGATGGTCGTAAGAGTCCTGGTGAGTACTTCGGTGGGGTGCTAGTGAAATCCTGTTGAGTGAGTCACGACGGTACGTCACTTCGCATGCAAACGATGACAGGACCAAGAATATCCACGCAGAAGTAGGTAAACTCACGCTTTGATTCGGCCGATGCACCAATGTGGAGGCTCGCCTTTCCTGTTGCCACGCGGGACTTTGACAGCTCGGAGATAAGCCTCAAACTTGGGTAATTAAACTTTATTCTTATATATAGACATACATGAGTTTTATATAGGTGAGATGAGCGATCAATAAGTGATGAAGATAAATGCGGATGAAGTATGAAGAGGTCGCTGGCAGATGAGGTCAGCGTCTGTAGAAAATGAGCCGGAGTGGGCGGAGCCGAGCTTCAATGTTTCCTGATGTACAGTCCAGATAAAGGCTGTTGGCATAAAGAAACCTGATGACTCAGCCCGAGAAGCCTATCGAGGCTGCTGGCATAAAGAAACCTGATGACTCAGCCCGAGAAGCCTATCGA